GGAAACATTAGAAAATCAATTAAATTATTGAAAATCGATATGCAATGAATCAAAATGTATGGATTTTAAGTAGTTTCATAAGTTTTAACAAAGTGATATTAAGAATTTTAAGTTTTATTTAGTTTTGAAATATATACTGATTTACATGCAAAATCAACGTGTTTTGACTATTTTTTTTCAACGTTAAACCCGCTAGTCTCAAAATATTAATAACTCTTTGGAAACATTAGAAAATCAATGAAATTATTGAAAATCGATATGCAATCAATCAAAATGTATTGATTTTAACTATTTTGATAAGCTTTGACAAAGTGATATTACATATTTTAAGTTTTACGAAGTTTTGAAATACATGCAAAATCAACCTGTTTTGACTACTTTTTCAACGTTAAACACGCTAGTTTCAAAATATAAATAACTCTTTGGAAACATTAGAAAATCAATTAAATTATTGAAAATCGATATGCAATGAATCAAAATGTATGGATTTTAAGTAGTTTCATAAGTTTTTAACAAAGTGATATTAAGAATTTTAAGTTTTATTTAGTTTTGAAATATATACTGATTTACATGCAAAATCAACGTGTTTTGACTACTTTTTCAACGTTAAACCCGCTAGTCTCAAAATATTAATAATAACTTTGGAAACATTAGAAAATCAATGAAATTATTGAAAATCGATATGCAATCAATCAAAATGTATTGATTTTAACTATTTTGACAAGTTTTGACAAAGTGATATTACATATTTTAAGTTTTACGAAGTTTTGAAATACATGCAAAATCAACCTGTTTTGACTACTTTTTTCAACGTTAAACACGCTAGTTTCAAAATATAAATAACTCTTTGGAAACATTAGAAAATCAATTAAATTATTGAAAATCGATATGCAATGAATCAAAATGTATGGATTTTAAGTAGTTTCATAAGTTTTAACAAAGTGATATTAAGAATTTTAAGTTTTATTTAGTTTTGAAATATATACTGATTTACATGCAAAATCAACGTGTTTTGACTACTTTTTCAACGTTAAACCGCTAGTCTCAAAATATTAATAACTCTTTGGAAACATTAGAAAATCAATGAAATTATTGAAAATCGATATGCAATCAATCAAAATGTATTGATTTTAACTATTTTGATAAGCTTTGACAAAGTGATATTACATATTTTAAGTTTTACGAAGTTTTGAAATACATGCAAAATCAACCTGTTTTGACTACTTTTTCAACGTTAAACACGCTAGTTTCAAAATATAAATAACTCTTTGGAAACATTAGAAAATCAATTAAATTATTGAAAATCGATATGCAATGAATCAAAATGTATGGATTTTAAGTAGTTTCATAAGTTTTAACAAAAGTGATATTAAGAATTTTAAGTTTTATTTAGTTTTGAAATATATACTGATTTACATGCAAAATCAACGTGTTTTGACTACTTTTTCAACGTTAAACCCGCTAGTCTCAAAATATTAATAACTCTTTGGAAACATTAGAAAATCAATGAAATTATTGAAAATCGATATGCAATCAATCAAAATGTATTGATTTTAACTATTTTGATAAGCTTTGACAAAGTGATATTACATATTTTAAGTTTTACGAAGTTTTGAAATACATGCAAAATCAACCTGTTTTGACTACTTTTTCAACGTTAAACACGCTAGTTTCAAAATATAAATAACTCTTTGGAAACATTAGAAAATCAATTAAATTATTGAAAATCGATATGCAATGAATCAAAATGTATGGATTTTAAGTAGTTTCATAAGTTTTAACAAAGTGATATTAAGAATTTTAAGTTTTATTTAGTTTTGAAATATATACTGATTTACATGCAAAATCAACGTGTTTTGACTACTTTTTCAACGTTAAACCCGCTAGTCTCAAAATATTAATAACTCTTTGGAAACATTAGAAAATCAATGAAATTATTGAAAATCGATATGCAATCAATCAAAATGTATTGATTTTAACTATTTTGATAAGCTTTGACAAAGTGATATTACATATTTTAAGTTTTACGAAGTTTTGAAATACATGCAAAATCAAAATCAACCTGTTTTGACTACTTTTTCAACGTTAAAACGCTAGTTTAAACACGCTAGTTTCAAATATAAATAACTCTTTGGAAACATTAGAAAATCAATTAAATTATTGAAAATCGATATGCAATGAATCAAAATGTATGGATTTTAAGTAGTTTCATAAGTTTTAACAAAGTGATATTAAGAATTTTAAGTTTTATTTAGTTTTGAAAAATAATATTTGATTTACATGCAAAATCAACGTGTTTTGACTACTTTTTCAACGTTAAACCCGCTAGTCTCAAAATATTAATAACTCTTTGGAAACATTAGAAAATCAATGAAATTATTGAAAATCGATATGCAATCAATCTTTTGAAGCTAGCGTGTTTAACGTTGAAAAAGTAGTCAAAACAGCTTGATTTTCCATGTAATTCACTATGTATTTTAAACTACTGTAAAAGATCAAATTTCTAATATAACTTTGTCAAAACTTATGAAATTAGTTAAAATCTCTACATTTTGATCGATTGCGTATCGATTTTCAATAATTTCATTGATTTTCTAATGTTTCCAAAGAGTTATTTATATTTCGAAGCTAGCGTGTTTAACGTTGAAAAAGTAGACAAAACAGCTTGATTTTGCATGTAATTCACTATGTATTTCAAACTAATGTAAAACCTAAAATTTGTAATATAACTTTGTCAAAACTTATGAAACTAGTTAAAATCAATACATTTTGATCGATTGCGTATCGATTTTCAATAATTTCATTGATTTTCTAATGTTTCCAAAGAATTATTTATATTTCGAAGCTAGCGTGTTTAACGTTGAAAAAGTAGACAAAACAGCTTGATTTTGCATGTAATTCACTATGTATTTCAAACTACTGTAAAACATAAAATTTGTAATATAACTTTGTCAAAACTTATGAAATTAGTTAAAATCTCTACATTTTGATCGATTGCGTATCGATTTTCAATAATTTCATCGATTTTCTAATGTCTCCAAAGACTTATTTATATTTCGAAGCTAGCGTGTTTAACGTTGAAAAAGTAGACAAAACTGCTTGATTTTGCATGTAATTCACTATGTATTTCAAACTACTGTAAAACATAAAATTTGTAATATAACTTTGTCAAAACGTATGCAATTAGTTAAAATCAATATATTTCCATCGATTGCGTATCGATTTTCATTAATTTCATTGATTTTCTAATGTTTCCAAACAGTTATTTATATTTCGAAGCTAGCGGGTTTAACGTTCAAAAAGTAGTCAAAACAGCTTGATTTTGCATGTAATTCACTATGTATTTCAAACTACTTTAAAACATAAAATTTGTAATATAACTTTGTCAAAACTGATAAAACTAGTTAAAATCAATACATTTTTATCGATTGCGTATCGATTTTCAATAATTTCATTGGTTTTCTAATGTGAAACTAGTTAAAATCAATACATTTTGATCGATTGCGTATCGATTTTAAATAATTTCATTGATTTTCTAAAGTTTCAAAAGAGTTATTTATATTTTGAATCTAGCGTGTTTAACGTTGAAAAAGTAGTCAAAACAGCTTGATTTTGCATGTAATTCACTATGTATTTCAAACTACTGTAAAACATCAAATTTTAATATAACTTTGTCGAAACTTATGAAATTAGTTAAAATCAATACATTTTGATCGATTGCGTATCGATTTTCAATAATTTCATCGATTTTCTAATGTTTCCAAAGAGTTATTTATATTTCGAAGCTAGCGTGTTTAACGTTGAAAAGTAGTCAAAACAGCTTGATTTTGCATGTAATTCACTATGTATTTCAAACTACTGTAAAACATAAAATTTGTAATATAACTTTGTCAAAACTTATGAAATTAGTTAAAATCAATACATTTTGATCGATTGCGTATCGATTTTCATTAATTTCATTGATTTTCTAATGTTTCCAAAGACTTATTTATATTTCGAATCTTGCGTGTTTAACGTTGAAAAAGTACTCAAAACAGCTTGATTTTGCATGTAATTCACTATGTATTTCAAACTACTGTAAAACATAAAATTTGTAATATAACTTTGTCAAAACTTATGAAACTAATTAAAATCAATACATTTTGGTCGATTGCGTATCGATTTTCAATAATTTCATTGATTTTCTAATTTTTCGGAAGGGTTATTTATATTTTGAAACTAGCGTGTTTAACGTTGAAAATGTAGTCAAAACAGCTTGAATTTGCATTTCCCGTCCACTCGCGTATTTCAGTATCTTTCCTATATTTTTGGCGCCAAGCTATCCGGGGCCTACCCATCGTTATAAAAGAATCTCGCTATCAACCAAAAGACTAGTAGCAGTTCACTTCTTGGAAAATAAGGCACGGCGCTATATTGACATTTTAATTCTTAATTATTACTCATTCTTGTAATCATACTAATTACTGTTGAACATTACCTCTTTCTACACTGATAAAACACTGTGGAACTATTCTGTATTTAGCTAAGACTTCAGTTGAACTTTGTAGTTAAATTACATTCAATTTTGTACCACACATTTATTAGCTAAACTTACCCTTTTTTATTACGGAGAAAGGGAAGCAACTTTCTTTATACTTATTGTTGAAATTTGTATACCATTGTTAATACAATATATTATTAATGTTCACTGAGCTTGATTTTTTTTCTTGATGTTTAAATTTAATGTATGGATGTTGATTATCTTGAAATACGCAGCCGCATTTATATATTTGATCAACCCAACTACTAATTCCACCATAAGAATTGGTGACGCCGACGGAAACAAACTACAGGAATATAACAGACAAAAGTGAAGTGAAACTTATATTGTGCCAAACACATTATAAAGAATTCAACGTACAAAAACTTAAACTTGGCGCCAAAATAATTTTTCTTGTCCACCACATGCATAAAAACATATATCTAACATGGCCGAACAGAACGCCAGTGAAGCAACCGTGATGCTCAACTTGCCAGTCTTTGACACAACCAACGTCAATGTGTGGTTCGCACAGTTAGAGGCTATATTTCAGGCGAAGAAGATACAATCCCAGATGGTACGTTATGCCTATGTGGTGGAAAAACTGCCACCTGAAATTGCGTCCGATGTGTTGGATTTATTAAATAACTCTTTCGACACACTGAAAGAGGCAATAATCTACAGGACGGGGAAGTCGCAAGAACGTAACCTGAATGACTTGTTCAATACGTTGCAGTTAGGCGACAGCAAGCCGTCTCAATTACTGCGGAAAATGAAGAATTTGCTAGGCAAAAACTCGATGTTCGATTCTTTATTTCGTAAATTGTGGATGGACAAATTACCAACTCACACAACTCAAATCCTAGCTACACTACCAGAAGACCTAGATTTGGAAAAAACGGCGGAGATAGCGGACAAGATAAGTGACGCTGCAACTATCAGCAGTGACAACGCTCCAACGTTACGCGACACGCCACGTGAGGACGAATTTAACAAGCTGCAACAGCAAATTAATAGGCTATCTGAACAGATAGACCGTTTGTATAGAGAGCGATTATCCTCAGCTCACAACTTATACGAGTCCCAACGACGTTCCCGATCTAATTCTCGGGGAAGAAACGATGTGTATTGCCGGTACCATCGCAAATTTGGATAGGCAGCGAGAGAATGCACCAAACCGTGCAATTTCAAACAACAACCGAATTCTACGTCATGCCAGAAGGCGGGAAACGCCATTCCCAGCAGCGCATGAAGACGGCGTCTACTGTGGGGATAGGAAATGCCAACCGTCTATTCTACGTCAGAGATAGAAACTCCGACAAAATGTTTCTTGTGGACACAGGTGCACGAATTAGTGTTATTCCACCTAGTCCCAGTTTTTCAAATACTAAATCTTCAATAACCCTACGTGCTGCTAATGGATCACAAATCCAGACTTTCGGTCAAGTATCAATGACTTTGGACATGGGCCTGAGGAGAATATTCCAATGGTTATTTACAGTAGCCGAAGTCAAGTTCCCAATATTAGGCGCAGATTTTTTGGCTCACTATAAACTTATCGTGGATATGTCGAAACACTCACTGTTAGACCAGACGACGAATCTTATGAATTATGGAGTTACTTCCACCCTCACCTCCACTAAACTATGCGTCGCCTTGCCAGCAGACAACCCTCTCAAAGGTATATTGGACAAATTTCCTTCACTTATCCGCCCTTTTACATATACCGAAACGGTGAAGCACCACACCGTACACAAAATTCAAACATTTGGCTCGCCAGTTTTTTCCAAGCCGCGCAGGTTAAGTCCTGAGAAGTATAAGCTAGCGCACGCAGAATTTCAGCACATGTTAGACTTAGGAATTATCCGGCCTTCGTCTAGCGCTTTCGCATCTCCACTCCACATGGTCCCTAAGTCGCAGGAGGGGGCATGGAGACCCTGCGGCGATTATCGACGTTTAAACACACAAACAGTGCCTGACAAGTATCCTGTACCTAATTTGGCAGATTTTGCAATTTCTTTGCAAGGTGCAAAACTATTTACAAAAATCGATCTGAGAAAAGCATTTTATCAGATTCCTGTTGCCGAGGAAGATGTGCTATAACTTTGGTCTTTACGAATGCTTACGAATGCCTTTCGGTCTCCGAAACGCTGCACAATCTTTCCAGAGGTTAATCGATGAAGCCCTTGGAGGTTTACACCACTCATTTGCCTACATCGATGATCTACTAATAGCAAGTGCCAACATGGACGACCACGTGCGTCACGTAACGCAAGTTTTCGAACGATTAGAGCATTTTGGATTGAAAATTAATCCTGACAAGTGTTTATTTGCCGTTTCGAAACTTAATTTCCTCGGGCATGTTATTGACGAATCAGGAATCACGCCGATCCCTGAAAAGGTTACTGCAGTGAAAGAATTCCCACAACCAACAACCCTTCGTCAACTCCGTCGATATCTTGGACTGATAAATTATTACCGCCAGTTCATCCCGAACTGTTAGCAAATATTAGCACCACTAAGCAATCTACTCCGTGGTCAAGGGAAGAAGAATATCCCCATAACGCTCACAGACGAAGCCCTCGTTGCTTTTAGTTCTCGCGAAGCTCTAGCAAACTTTACAAAGTTAACATATTTGTGCGATGACAACAAAGCAACTCTGTCATTAACTACAGATGTGTCATCAGAAGCTATTGGAGCGGTTTTGCATCAGCATACCACGCCAATTTCCAACTTCTTTAAAGCTAAGTTAATCAACATATTTTCAGCTTTATAAGATTCTCTTTCAGTGAACATTTTGAACAAGTAAATTCAGTTTTTGTGAGCTCCGATAAAAAAATGTTTTATTAGTAAAAACTTCAGCCCAGTCAAAGGGAAGTAACTCATATTATTGTTATTGTAAAACTGTTGTCATTTATAAATATAAATTAAGAAAAGTTATTTTCTTGTATTCTTTCTCAAGTTTGCTTTTTATTTTCTTACACATTCGTAAAGTAAAAAAATGTGTGGGTTGATTTATGACGTCAATAGCAATACAAATTCACTATGTATTTCAAACTATTGTAAAAGATAAAATTTGTAATATATCTTTGTCAAAGTTATGAAACTAGTTAAAATCAATACATTATGATCGATTGCATATCGATTTTCAATAATTTCATTGATTTTCTAATGTTTCCAAACAGTTATTTATATTTTGAAGCTTACGTGTTAAACGTTGAAAAAGTAGTCAAAACAGCTTGATTTTGCATGTAATTCACTATGTATTTCAAAACATTGTAAAACATAAAATTTGTAATATAACTTTTACAAAACGTATGAAACTATTTAAAATCAATACATTTGATCGATTGCGTATCGATTTTCAATAATTTCATTGATTTTCTAATGTTTCCAAAGAGTAATTTATATTTTGATGCTAGTGTTATGGTGTGATTAGTAGTTGGGTTGATCAAATATATAAATGCGGCTGCGTGTTTCAAGATAATCAACATCCATACATTAAATTCAAACATTAAACAAGCTCAGTGAATATTAATAATATATTGTATTAACAATGGTATACAAAATTCAACAATAAGTATAAAGAAAGTTGCTTCCCTTTTTCCGTAATAAAAAAGGTAAGTTTCGCTAATAAATGTTGAGTACAAAATTGAATGTAATTTAACTACAAAGTTCAATTGAAGTCTTAGCTAAATACAGAATAGTTCCACAGTGTTTCATCAGTGTAGAAAGATGTAATGTTCTTGAGTAATATCAACAGGAATTAGTATGATTACTCGAATGAGTAATAATTAAGAATTAAAATGTCAATATAGCGCCGTGCCTAATTTTCCAAGAATTGAACTGCTACTGGTCTTTTGGTTGATAGCGAGATTCTTTTATAACGATGGGTAGGCTCCGGATAGCTTAGCGCCAAAAATATAGGAAAGATACTAAAATACGCGATTGGTCAGGAAATAGACCAATCCGTGATTTTAGCGAAAAATTTGAATTACTTGCGATGGTTAAATTGTCCTATAATAAGTATCATGTATTTATTAACCAATGAGAATTGGAGAAAATGTAGGCGTGGCACTACAGTACCCTCTACAAGATTGGAAAAAAGTGATGAAAAGACAGTTTTTTTTCAATATGCTATGTAATGCTTGTATTTACTAGGCCAATGGACCTTCCTACCTTTTTTTGTGTGTTTTGGTGCAGGTGTTTGGGGTTGGTACTGTATGTCGCCTGGTGTAGTTGGTGGTTGAGATTTTGGGTCGGGTTCCGTGCTTTGTTCTACGTATGCTGGTTTCAGGCGGTCTATCGAGATGTTCGATCGTCCGCTAGGGAGTAGAACAGTGTAGAACTTGCTATGTCGTGCGAGAACACGGAATGAACCCGTATAGCTCGGTGTGAGTAGTCTTTTCACTGCATCTTGTCTAATGAAGACAAAATTACATTTGCTAAGAGATTCGGGGACGAATATATCCTTGGTCTGGAATCGAGTAGGTGTAAAAGATAAATTTGACATTCTACTCTGCAAATATTGAATAAAGGCTGAAGAAGGTTTTGAAACGGAGCTGTCAGACAGAAATTGCCCTGGCAAAACTAATAATGGCTGTCCGAAGACAAGGTCGGCAGGTGAGCACTGAAGATCCTCCTTCACTTGTGATCGAAGTGACAGCATTACCAAGGGTAAGTTGTCTATCCAAGATTGTTGATTACTAGCGTTGGAACTAGTTAAAGCGTCTTTTAGCTGACGATGAAAACGCTCCACCAAGCCGTTAGCACAGGGATGGTAAGCTGTGGTAGAAATGTGTTTTGCTCCTAGGAGATTGATAAATTCCTTAAAAAGTGTGGACTGGAATTGTGGACCGCGATCTGTTGTTATAACTGATGGGCATCCGAAAAACGAGATCCAATTTCTCAGTAGTGCCTTAGCAACAGAATCGGCGGTCGTGGATTGAAGAGGGATAGCAACTGGCCATCTCGAAAATCTGTCGATTATGGTTAAAATATACTGGTGTCCGTGGATTTCCGGCAACGGACCCACCAAGTCGACGTGCATGTGACGAAATCGTCCGTCTGGCGTAGGAAAATGTACCAAGCCGTGTAATTTCAAACCACAAACAGATTTTACAACAGGCCAGAAGGCGGGAAACGCCAACCCCAGCGGCGAGTGAAGGCAGCGTCTGCCGTTGGGGGTCAGACATCTAACCGTCTGTTCTACATTAAAGACAAGAACTCAAATGAATCATTCCTCGTTGATACGGGTGCCCAAATCAGTGTTATCCCACCCCAATCCAACTTCTCGAAAACTAAATCTCTGGTTACCTTACGTGCCGCTAATGGCAGACACATCCAAACCTTCGAACAATTATATATGACCCTGGACATAGGCCTGCGAAGGAACTTCCAATGGCTCTTTACGGTAGCAGACGTAAAATTCCCAATTCTCGGTGCCGATTTTTAGCACACTATAAACTAATAGTTGACTTGTCGAAACGTCTATTGCCTGATAATACAACAAAACTTAAAAAGTATGGTGTTATTTCCACCCTCACTTCCACTAAGCTATGCGTCGCTGTTCCAGCGGATAATCCACTCCAAGACATCTTAGATCAATTTCCATCACTTATCCACCCATTTACTTATACAGAGACAGTCAAACACCACACTGTCCACAAGATTCACACGTCAGGAGCGCCAGTGTTTTCAAAGCCGCGCAGGCTAGCTCCAGACAAATACAAATTAGCGCGCGCAGAATTCCAACATATGCTGGACCTAGGAATTATACGCCTGTCGTCAAGCCCTTTTGCGTCTCCACTCCACATGGTCCCTCAGGCACAGGAGGGGCTTGGAGACCCTGCGGTGACTACCGTAGGTTGAACACACAGACAGTCCCTGACAAGTACTCTGTACCTAATTTGGAAGACTCTGCAATTTCTTTACAGGAGTCTTGACCAAATAGACCTACGCAAAGCATTTTACCAAATCCCCGTCGCCGAAGAACATATTCACAAAACGGCAATCACAACTCCTTTCGGCCTATACGAGTTTCTACGAATGCCCTCCGGTTTGCGAAACGCCGCGCAATCCTTTCAACAGTTAATAGATGAAGCACTTCGTAGCTTGCCTAACTCGTTCGCGTATATTGATGACTTACTAATTGCAGCGCCAATGGACGATCACAAGCGCCAAGTAAAACAAGTTTTTGTGGGACGCAAAAATAAACCCTGAAAAATCAATACCTAAAATTAAGTTTTTCCTCGGTTTTGTTATCGACCACACGAAATTACACCAGTCCCAGAGAAAGTCAAAGCGATCAGCGAATTCCCACAACCACTCCGCCAACTCCGCCAAACCTGGGATTGATAAATTATTAATGCCGTTCTGCCGTTTCAATTAGCACCTCTCAGCGACCTGCTTATATAGAACTGATCTGGTTGCCAGAAATGCGACAATAAGACACATAAACTCCAGAGATTGCAACTTTACTAAAATGTCTTGATAAACGACACACCTCTCATTAACTACAGATATGTGAATGCAATCGGTGCTGTTTTGCGGACGCGATAGTAATGCCTATTTCCTTCTTTTTTGAAACGTACCTCTACTAAAAAAAATACAGCGGTGAACTACTTGCAATAACTTGTCAATCAAGAACTTCAGTTCAGGGGTTTGGGACCCGGCAGCGTGCAGTGCTGGTTTAAAACATGGCCTTTGCCTATTTAAACTACCGAGTCTACAAGCAAAGTAAAAAGATAATAAATTTGCGTGAATGAACATGAGAGGAAAGGGGTCAATCAACGATCAAATAAAATATATTAAGATAGCCGGAATAAAATGCCAAAGACATCTGTTTATAAAACAAGTTTTAATTGAAAACTCATCCCAAGGTCGGGATCAATGAATATGTTCCCAAAATATGAAACCCCTCGAAAAAAAATTTAAACAGTTCCGGAAAAAAATTTATTTGAATATCACAGTGGATATTTTAAGTTAAATTACAATATTTTCCCTCGGTTTATAAAGAATGACGTTCGTCTAAGTTTTTTTTTTTTGGATGTTGGATTGATAAATTATTACCGTTTTCAATTCAAAACGAAGCATGGTCTTATTTAGAATGGTTTACGGGGAGCCCAAAGAGAAAGACGAAAAATGTTTTTGTTATTCAAATCTTAACACTGCTGTGGGCATCTAGCCGGGAGAACCGACCTGCTCCGTTACGGCGAGCCCAAAGGGAAAGAGAAAAATGCGACAATAAGACTGACCAACGAGACACTTGCACGACAGTGTCGTGTTCATAAAACTCCAGAGACGCCTTGTGATTGAACTTTACTAAACTGTCTTATTTTACGACGATAGATAAAAAACACACCATCTCATTAACTTTACAGACGTGTCGTCAGATGCTATCGGGGCTGTTTTTGGATCAACATTTGCACGATAGTACAGTGAAAAATAAGATATTCCGGCTTCGTATTTTCAGTGAAACTGCCCATCCAGTCCTCTACTCTGGCCGTTTGAAAAAAAAAAAAAAAAAAATAGGAAAAAGTTACTGCTATTTTTCCCCGTGAACTACTGAAAACACGCGCAACATACTTGTGAAATCAAGAACTTCAGACACATATTAGAAGGTAGGAAATTTACCGTGTTCACAGACCATAATCCTTTAACCTTCGCTCTTAAAACTAAGTCTGACAAGCACAACCAGCGAGATTACAGACAATTGGACTTCATATCACAATTCACTACAGCCATCAGACACATCAAGGGAAATAATAATATCGTCGCTGACACTCTTAACAGATCCTCCTTATGCAGTAACGTTGAGGAAAATTTGGATATTGAACTACTTGCGGACGAGCAGAAAAGGGACGCTACTCTGCTCGACTCCCTGGAGGATTCGTCACACCCTCTACCCTTCAGCACCAAATCAATTACCTGTGACACATGTACTCACAATGTCAGTATGCGAAAGAAAATTTTCGACCATTTCCATTCACTTTCACACCCTGGTCGCAAGGCTACATTCAAAATAATATCGGAACATTTTGTTTGGCCGAATATGAGCAGCGACATCAAGAACTATACCCAGTGTTGTTTAGTCTGTCAGCGAACTAAAGTTCAACGTCATACGAAATCACCACCTGGTAATTTTGCTGTACCGGACGGCCGTTTCCGTCACTTACACGTCGACTTGGTGGGTCCGTTGCCGGAAGTGCACGGACAACAATATATCCTCACAATTATTGACAGAGTTTCGAGATGGCCAGTCGCCATTCCCTTACAAAATACAACCGCAGAATCTGTTGCCAAGGCTGTATTCCAAAATTGGATATCAATTTTCGGATGCCCTTCAATAGTAACAACGGATCGCGGTCCGCAATTCCAATCACAGCTTTTCACAGAATTTATACATCTCCTCGGTGCGAAACACATTTCGACTACTGCATACCACCCCCCTGTGCCAATGGACTCGTCGAACGTTTCCATCGCCAGTTAAAAGCTGCCTTGACCAGTTCCAGCACTGTCAGCAAATCATCATGGATGGATAATCTACCCTTGGTAATGTTCTCTCTCCGAGCACAAATAAAGGAAGACCTTAATTGTTCGCTAGCTGACCTCGTCTTCGGACAACAGTTGGTATTACCTGGCCAATTCCTTTCCAACCATCCAATTTCAGACCATACTACGAATTTTGTTAAATACCTACAGAATAGGATGTCATCCTTAGCTTTTACACCTACCCGGTTTTCAACAAAGGACATATACGTTCCTTCATCACCACACAAATGTAATTTCGTCTTCGTCCGGAAAGATGCTGTTAAGAAACCGCTTACGCCACATTACTCTGGCCCATTTCGCGTCCTTGCCCGGAACGAAAAATTTTATACTATTCAGTTTCCCAATGGCCGATCTAACGTGTCTATAGATCGTCTAAAACCTGCCTATATAGAATGCAGAGCAGATTCAAGCCAATCACCAACACCATCAACATCACTGGATGATACACAACAACAACAACAGCAACGACGACGACAACAGCAACAGCAACAACAACAGACGAGTAAAGGACGAACGGTGCATTGGCCACAAAAATTTAGACATTATATTACATATTGAAAATTTTGACTATCATCACACTTTCCAATCTGAAGGGGAGTAGTTGTAGCGTTTGTTTACATACACTACGCCCACAAAATACTCAATAGCCATTGGATAGAAAGTAAGCACTATTTTCTATAGGACAATTTAGGCATCGCATGAGCCACATCAAATTTTCTGATGTTTACTTTGGTTTAGAAAAATCAGTGATTGGTTGATTTTTGACCAATAATATAATATAACACTCCTTTCAATATTTTTCCCGCTCTCGTTCCTGGAGCCTATTCAGAAAGTATAAATAACAAGAAAATCAAAGAAAAGAACAGTAGTAGAACAGTAAATCTCCAGAGCTCAACCACGTACGTGAATTCTCATTCTTCTACTCACACACACAGACACAAAATTACAATTGCACTACGCTGTGAACTGTCTGTCCAAAAAGCCAAGTAACCAACTCAGAATTCTATCATTCTTTTGTACAACTTTCTCATACTTAAACTCAGTTATCACATATTGCTGAACTTTGAACATTTTAAACAAGAAAGTTCTTTTAACACATATTTACAATCTCACATCAGTACAAATGGAACTACTTCCTCTTTCTTAACTTTGTTTCACCAAACACAATTGTTGTACTCGCTTGTTTTTCAATACATGTTATTGTTGATTACTGAATAATCTCTTGTTATTCCTTCTTTTTGTAAAATTTGAATGTGATGTTCTAATCAAAAAACGCAACCTTGATGTAATTATTGTTTTGTTAAATGAAGAATTTTTAGACAGACAATTCATTATTAATGAAATATTCAAGCAGATCAACGAGCGAACCCATGCGTAGGATGTCGATATAGTATAACATTCTGCTACCACTTGTTTTCAACTACAAAAATTGGATCACGGAGCCTTGATATTTTTCTCACTTCTGATTGGTCAGTTAATATTAATATCATGTTCTCAATTACGTCTGAATTATATTGACCTTGTGGCGGACTTCACCACATTAATTTAACTTAGATTAGGAAACCAAACTGAGGTGAAGAAAGGATAAGCCAAATACATGATTACACATGAAATATATTTAACAAGATGTACAAACAAGGATGTGAAAGAAGGCATGCATTGAGTAAAATAAGAGTTATCTCTCTTTAACTATTATTCGTATTCTAAAGTTCACTGAAAGAAATAAAGTTTGTGATAGTTTCTGGTAATAAATGTTTTCAACAGTTTTGCTGTTCAATTATGTGAGTGTAAGGAATATTCAGCATGTAAGTGGTGGTGTGAGTGAGGAGATTGGCGCATGGTTTCAACTGTCGTGGATTCGTTTGGCAGCTGAAATCTCACAGAGAGGAACACAGACCAGGTTATGTCTAAGGGCAGAGACCCGTCTGGGGTGGTAGACAGCTACCCGACCCCGTTTTTACGGGGTTTATGAGGAATTTTTGTGCGAGCCCGCGGGCTCGGTTTAACCCCGCATTAAAAACGGCCTTGTGACACATCCTGCCCTCCTTTTGCCTTTTTCTCACACCACAACAATGTAGTCAGTAAAGAGCCCGCGTCTGTTCCTTAATGGCAGAAGCTATGACACACGCACACACGTACGTACGAACATTGTACATCTCTGATCTCATCTCATTCTTCAACTACAAGCAATAGAAGCATATTCAACTCTCTTCGGTGAACAATTTAAACGGCAAGTAATTCAGCTTTTCGATATTCAAGTGAAGATTATTTTCCCTCAATCAACAATTTTTTTTAACTCCTCTTACACCAGAATTTCAGCCTACAACACCTTATTGAAGAACATTCTTTCCATTGAAACTTATTAATTATTTCATGAACTGAAATGTTTTCTGTGAGTCTAGATAAAAACTATATTTTCCTTAAAGTCTTATCTAAGTCATTCAACAGTTAAAGGGAAATAAACCCTGATGTATTATTACAACTCTTACCACATAAAAATCACACACTTCATTGCTTTGTATTTTGACAGTTTAAATGAAAATTGTTTGGTGTTATAATAGCAGTTTTTGTGTTGTTTCTCTTGTTTGCTTACATATTTGTAAAGTAAAATATGTATGAATTGATTTAGTTCGTCAATACCCCTACGATAGTATCTTGTAAACAATACA